CAGTGACAGGACAAGGGGTAATGGGTTCAAACTGAAGGACCTGAAGCCTCACGTACCAATGCAGCAACACACCTTAGGTTCTGGAAGCAGCACTAGCACTCCAATGCAACTTTTTCTTGTGATGCTTTAAGTATTGATAGGTTTATACAAATACAAGATGAAAAACCCCAAAACTTGTAAGTACCAAGTCTACCCATTTGTTAACAGCAGTGATTGGTTGTCTATTACTGAGCACAAGCAGCAAATGATTCCAGTAGCTGAGATTAGAATTCAGGGTGCTCCTGGCTCTGGCTTTTCTGTGCTCTGCACCTTCAAGTATGGATTTCATTACTCCATCGAGGCACAGCAGTTCATTCTTACACCTCTTTGCCCTCCCTAGCTGCCCCGGGCTTGCTTGCTCTTCCTCCATCCCAAAAATGACCTAGTTTCACTGGTTTAACCTGATGTGTTTACTTTACAACAGATCAGGAGCACATAGACAGCCACTCACCACATTTCACCTAAGGGCAACAAATAATTTCTTAGGAGAAGTTAGCTTGGTCGCCTAAGCTTTTGCACTCTGTCTTGTGCCACTGCTTTCCCTGTCTAAAACTATGTAGTCTAGTAAAACAACAACACTACAACAACAAAATAATTTATAACTGTGAATGATTCAGGCTTGAGAGCAGCGAGAAGGAAGGGAGAGAGGTAAAATGGGAAGGGAGGTCAGAAAGTGAGGCCTCACACTAAGGGAATTCCCAGCATGGAAGACGCAATTTTTCATGCCCTAAGCACTGTGCCATAGGACAAACCACAAAGAGCAGTTCAGAGCACACAGAGGCATTCAGAAGCAAGTGTTCACCTGCTCAAAATGAGTGTGTGCTGCAGGCTTTTTATGCTTTTGCTAAGCACATACGCACTAATAAACAAAAATCAACTTGCTTCTACAACAAAATAATCAGTCACCAGCGCAAAAACTGCTCCTAAATACACGTCTCATGAAGGGCTCTTTAAAAACTCTGCACAGGGATCATTTTGCACTGAAATAGAGAGGGAAAGACCACGGGTGCATTCCTTCTCACTCGGTGGATAAAACCTCTCTTTCACTGCTGCATAGCCTCTGACAGTTTGGAGATGGTTAGCCACCAATGCTATAAAAATAATCTGATCTTGAAATAACAACCTATCTTTTCCCCCCTGTCCTCCTTCACTGGTGTACACCAGGTTTGCTTCTCAACTGCTGCACATCACCATACCTGTACCAACACCAAACGTGCCAGTTCACAACCTTCTGAAGGTCTGACCCCTCCCTGCTCTCCTGGAAACAGATCTGTGGGTTCTGCACAAGGCAATACTGTTTCTCTGACCCCTCCCTGCTCTCCTGGAAACCGATCTGTGGGTTCTGCCCAAGGCAATACTGTTTTATACAGACACAGATGTGGGTGTCCTGGCCCCTTGCTCTTTTCACCATGTTTATTTTTCCATCATGGGATCACAACAAACTGCACACACAGCAGCAAGCCTGCAGCAAACAGGAGCATCA